AATCCTAAATAATTATTAGTATCTATTCGGATCATTAAAGAGTTCACCATCATCTTTAGTAAAATGTACATTTGGTACCATTGGAGAGTTGCATGGGTTAGTTCATAACTTTAAGGTGTCTAATAATAGATTAAGTACATACTTCTTCTGAGACAAGAAAATCTTCTTTTTACTTCTTATTACTTTTACTGCCAATAAGTATTTTAACTGATCCAAGTCTTTATTGTGAAACTTGGTATGTAAGAATGATTTGAGAGAGAATATTTCTACACAACCATCTCCTGTAATGACAATATCATCAACATAAATAACAAAAAGTATAAGACCAGTTGCTGACTGTCTATAAAAGACCAAGTAATCACACTTTCTCTTCTTCAACCCAAATTCCAAATCAACTTCATTAAATTTGTCAAACCACACACAGGGAATCTGCTTCAAATTGTATAAAGATTTTTTCAAATAACAAACTTTCCCGTACTCCCCTTGAGCAACAAATCAGGTGACTGCTCCATATAAACTTATTCTAGGAGGTCGCCATAAATGAATGCATTTTTTATATCCAACTGGTGTAATAGCCAATTTCAAGATGCTGCAATAGAGATGAATAAACGGATCGATGTAAGTTTGGTCACCAGAGAGAAGATATCAGAATAATCCACCCCATAAGTTTGAGTGTAACTTTTTGCTACAAGTCTGGTTTTAAGTCTTGCCACAGAGCCATCTGGGTTTCCTTTGACTGAAAATACCCATTTGCACACCACAACCCTTTTTTCTTTGGGTAAATCTACCAAATTATAAATATGATTTTCATCGAGAACATTTATCTTCTCAAGCATTGCACTATGCCAAGCAAGATGACTCAAAACTTCCTTAATTGTCTTGGGTATGGAAATTAAAGTTATAAAAACAATGGAAGAGCTATACTAAGGAGACAAATAATTATATGAAATAAAATTAGCAATGGGATAACTTGGGTTAGGAATGGTGCACTTACTTTTATGAAAACCAATGAGAAGATCAAGGTCCTGTAAAGCAGAATCAGATGACGAAGGAGCTGAAGCAAGAGATGTATCATTAGTCTGTGGTATTCTAGAAAATACATGAACAATTGGTTGTGATATTTGAGTTGGAGGCACACCAACACTATCATCAGCTTGCTCAAGTAGAGTTTGAGGCACATCATCTAGAAAAATACTATTATCTATTTGCTCAATAGAAGCATTTGGTGTGAACTTATAAATGAGTCACTCATCGTCTACCCCCTAACTTGTAGAATTGGAGAAAGAGAAGAAAAACGATGTATTATTAAAAAAAGGACATCAGTTGATACTAAATATTTATTGAGATTTGAAGAGTAGCATTAGTATCCTTTTTAAAGGCGAAAATATCCAAAAAATACACACTTCAAGACCTTCGGATCTAATTTTGTCACATTAAATCGCACATCTCGAACGTAACAGGTACTACCGAATATCCTACGTTGAACCAGAAACGAAAACTTATTTGAAAAAAGAAGACTGTAAGGAGCATCTTCATTGAATGCTGTAGATAGCAGACAATTAATCAAGAAAAACGCTGTAGAAACAGTATCAAGCCAGAATTGCTTAGAGACTTGCGTTTGGAATAAAAAAGCTCGAACTGTCTCAAGTAAATACATGTTTTTTATCTCAGCAACTCCATTTTATGAGAGTGTATCAACACACAAGAATTGATGAAGAATCCCGTATTGAGTCATATAGTTCTGAAATGAGTCTGACATATATTCCTTCGTATTATCACTTCTAAATACATGCATAGAAACATTAAATTGAGTCTTAACTTCAGTATAAAAAGCACAAAAATAAGAAAATATTTCATAACAATTTTTCATAAAATATATTTAAATCATTCGAGAAAAATCATCCACAAAGGTAATAAAATACTTAAACCCTGTTTTGGACGATACAGGACATGAGCCCCAAACATCATAATGAACTAACTCAAAAGTAAACTCAACTCATCTATTAACTCTTGGACCTGATAGACTACAGTAATATTTTGCAAATCAACATGACTCACAATTCAATTACTGTACATCATGAAACTGAGAACATAACTTCTTCAACACAAGGAGAGAAGAATGTCCCAATCGAGAACCTAAGTATCAAGAATATAAGAACCATATAATATATGCCATTTACCAATAATCTACTTCGTTATAAAATCAAGAACACAATGATTAGAAAAGAACGTAATATAACAATTTAGATCTTTAATAAGCTTACTCGCATAAATCAGATTGAAAGCAAGTTTAGGTAAACTCAATACAAATGACATGATAGTATATGAAATTAGTTTTGTAGTCTTGGAAATCTACAATGATAGGAAAAAATATTTTGTGTGGTCGAAAATTAAAAAAAGATATTAAGATTACCTATCATATGATCTGTAGAACCAGAATTAATCACCCATATATTTGAGGATGAGATAAGATATTTTTTCTCTAATTCAGCAAAAGCAGAGAATTCTCTTAAAGATTCCTGATATTAAGATAATTTAACATACTCGTAAGCTAAAATCAAAATAGTTTTTCCAGAAGATGAACTACTAGTAGCAGCAATAATTTTAGCAGTCTGTGTTATCTAATTTTATAATTTCTTACAATACCGCTTTATATGTCCTTACTTATGGCAATAATAGCAGATAATATTATCACTCATTTCAATTCAAGAATTAAGCTGTTAGATAAAAACCACCTGAAATACCCAAAACACCAGCAACCAAAAAAATTGGAGCACCCTACGCACTCTCATGCACCACCACCGAAAACCCACGTGTCGCCACCAGTAAACACCAAAAAACTTCCTTTTTTGCCGGAAATCACTACAGAAACCAGATCTGCACCCAAATCCAGAATGGATCTCGCAAAAATCGTGCCAAATCACATTAAATCTCGCAAAATCGTTTGTCGTCGCGCGATCTGCCTCCGCACCTCCACCTCAGCTTTCTTTTCTCCAGCCTTCTAGTTTTACACTCAGAATCGACTAAACAAGCTTCTCTCCAGCTTCTATCTTCGTGCGGTTGTCGTTTCAAACGTGCATGAAGGTTTTCGCAAATGGTTTCCTCTTTCCTGTCGTTCCAGATGCGATCCAACATTCATCCACTTCAGCACTGCGTCGACCGCACACTGAATAGTCTGAAGTCAGTTCTGACGACTGTCGCTGGCGCGGGGAATGGGTTGTTCAACCCGTCTTTTGGTCTAATATAATCTGATCTCTTAAACTCTAACCCTTATTTTGATATCATGTAAAGAGTTAAGAAAATATTGAATATTTCTTATCATTTTATCTCATTGGGTTAGAGATATATATACATAAAAGAGTGATCTATATATGGTAACATAAATCACCCAATTAATGCTAATATATATAGGAAATCAACTAATAATTATTGAAGATTTTAGGGAAGGAAGATGAAGATTTTCGAGAGGAGAAGAATTTCTTTTCTGATTTTTCTTTCATTACAAAATAAGGAGGGTGTCATTATATAGGCACCTGGCACCCGAAAATTATCCTAACAGAATGAAGAAAAAATGAATATTACGGTAGCGGGCATCCTCACCTGTCCACAACAAATTCACACAAAATTACTAAAGTACCATTTCATGATTTTCTACATTCCCCCTCAATCTAAGTTATATAGATATTGAGTAATCCTATATTATATACAATATTATTAAACGCCCCTTTTGGTAGTGCCTTTGTGAGTATGTCTGCAGTTTGTTGACTAGTTGGAACATATAATAATGTTATGGCCTGGTCTTCAATTTTTTTTTTTGATGAAGTGTCGATCATTATCAACATACTCGGTTCTATCATGGTATACATGATTTTTTGTCATGCTAATGGTTGATTGATAATCACACCAGAGTTTCATAAGGGTAAGAACAGAGAATCTTAGTTTAAGTTGTATCTTTTTCAGTTACACTCCTTCACATATCCCATGAGCAAGTGATCATAATTCAGCTTCAGTACTGTTTCTTGATACAACAGATTGTTTTTTGCTATACCAAGTGACTAGATTGCCCCACACATATGTAAAATAACCAGATGTGGATCTCCTATCAGTTACTGACCTTGCGTAGTCTGCATCAGTAAAAA